TAGCAACGCTATCTTTCTGTCTGAGCACTGGGGAAAGGTTCATCAGCAACTGCACAAATGTATGATTGGGCTGGAAAGCCAAGAGGGGAATTTAGCTTGGGGAGAACCATGAAAACTGTGTTTTGAGATGTATCCTCTTTTCCATGCAGGTTCTTCTTTGGGTTCTGAATGAAGAAAAAGATTTTGAGGAAGCGTTTAGCTATGGGGTCACTGGCATCATGACAGATTACCCCTCCAGCCTCCGAAAGTATCTGGACAGCCATCCACCTCTTCTCAATGAATGATTAATTAATCGGGGAGTGGTAGGCAATCAAACATGTTCCTTACTAGACAGATTCTAGGGCCTAGGGAAGGGGAGAGACAATGTGTATCAAGCCTAGAAAGAAAGGAAGAAGGGGAAACCATGAAACTAATAAACATATTGTAACTAGCAGCATGTGGTATTTTCACTAAATGAACCACCTAAAAGCAGAGGGTCTAGAAACTTCCTGGTCACAGTCATACTGCAAAGCGCACCAATAGAACCCATGGGAATCTTGCCATGCACTTCACACTACTAGTCTTCACGTTTACAGCGTAACAAAAGTTCCTACCAGTAACCAAGAAAAAGTCATGTGGCAGAGGTTCTCTCTAGTCAGGGGAATTACACATCTTCATTCAGCCCAGGAGGTAGCCACAGTAGAGCATTTCCCCAAATATCAACCTAGGCAAGCATACCAACATTTGACTCTCTCTCCCACTTTCTTGCTTATCCAATGGCAACCCACAGATTGGAACAGAAATTCCTTTCAAGGCAAATAGAGCAAACAAAACAGCAAAATACACAAAGCAAAGAAACACAGACACAAACCCTCAGCAGCACAGTGATAATGTTCTCAGGCAGAACTTAAGGGAGGAGAGGGGGAAAGTGAGCTTTTGTCCTTAATGCAGTGAGAGACCAGGCAGGACTGTGTGCTTCAAGAAACAAGAACCCAAGCCCAGCAGAGCCTGTCAAGCTTAGAAGCCATTCTCTCTTTCAGAACCTGCTTTCCTGGGTCCGGTTTGCCTTTTCCTCTACGGAGGTGAGAAGGCCAACGTGTTCTCCCAGGTGGGTGTGTTGCCATTGGTCTCCACCCTCCCTGGGCACATTCCTGGCATCATCCATGAATAGCAAGTCACAAGACAGGTTTCCAAATATGGCTTCCATTTATGCTTTTTTTTGCACTGAGGTCTTCCTTAAACGGAGCTGCGGTGGCTCAAGTGGTTAAGATGCTGAACTGCAGGCTGCAGGCTATGGAAGGTCGGTAGTTCAGCAGTTCGAGACCCGAGTGTGCCGCATGACGGAGTGAGCTCCCATCTCTAGTTCCAGCTCCTGCCATCCTAGCAGTTCGAAAGCAAGAAATTGCAAGTAGATAAATAGGTACCACTTCACTGGGAAGGTCACAGCGTTCCGTGCGCCTTGGTGTTTAGTCATGCCGGCCACATGACCACGGAAATGTCTTCGGACAGCGCTGGCTCTTCGGCTTTGAAACGGAGATGAGCACCGCAACCCTAGAGTCGGACTTGACTGGCTTTCGAGCAAGGGAAACCTTTACCTTCCTTAAACACATATATAAAAAAAGGCTGGGCTTTATTTCTGTTCCCGGACTCGTATTCATCAGCCTCAATTTTGCATCTCTGCCTTCCTACATCCCAACTGATATAGACCTGCCCCAGAAGACTTCCCCCACAACTTTCTGGTCCTGTCAAGGCCAAAGCTTTATGTCCTGCAAAACACTCTAAACATGGTGCCCCCCCCCCCCAAGGGGCATCCTAGGATTGCCAGATCCAGGTTGAGAAATTGCTGGAGATTTAGGGATGGAGCCTGGGAAGTACAGAGACCTCAGTGGGGTTCAGTTCCATAGAACCCACCCTCCAAAGCACCCATTTTCTCCAGGGGAACTGGTCTCTGTAGTCTGGAGAGGAGCTGTAATTCTGGGGAGGCTGGCATCCCTGTGACCCCATGCTCACTGCTGACACATCTACAAAATAAGGACTGGGGGATTCTGCATCCTGACATAAACCTTGGCAAACTCAATATACCTCTTCCTACTGAGTTAAGAAAACAACAACAGCGTGAAACCTTTTTATTGGGGCCAACCGAAATATCACGGAACTCTGTGCAACCTTCTGAACTCCCCAAAACTCTCCAACAGGCTGAGTAGTCAATGCAAAAATAGGGGGGTGGGGGGGTGGAGTAGAAAGATGTTTCAGGGTGTGATGGAGAAGCCTCCAATCTACAGTTTGTAAAGTCTTAACATGGAATACAGGCTATGTGGCAGAGTTAATTGGATGACATTACACCACCGGGCTCTCACTTCCCACTCTCTTGTGACATCTTTAGTTTCATAAATAGATGGGTAACAAAGTACTCATCACAGGTGTAATATAAAATTGGTCATGCAAAAAAAAAATCTCTGACAAGGTGAATTGCTATGTGAACAACGCTCAGTGCCAAACCACTCAATGAAAACGAATTCGCCCAGATTATTTTAGTAAGATTTATAAAGGCCATGGGTGAGAAGAACAGGTGAAAATGTTGAGCCCTTGTTCGAGAATTTTTGCCTAAATACAATATGTTACTATATTATTTTAGTTATTTATTTATACTCCACTTTTCCCCCAGTGGGGACCAGTGTTCCCTCTAAGCTGAGTGAGTGTGAGCTAGCTCACAGTTTTTGAGCCTCCTGCTCACAGATTTTTGTCTTAGCTCAGGAAGGATGGCTCCGGAGCAAACTAATTGATGCAGCAGCCAAATCACTTGCTCAGAACTTTAATGCCAGTAGCTCACAAAGTAGAATTTTTGCTCACAAGACTCCACCGCTTAGGGGGAACATTGGTGGGGACCCAAGGTGGTTTACATAACTCTCCTCTCCTCCATTTTATCTGCACAACAACCCTGTGAGGTAGGTTAGGCTGAGTATGTGTGACCGGCCCAGACTTTATGATAATAAAAGTAATGGCAACCCTAGGGCATAAGGCAGGCATGGAATCCGAAGTCAAGATTTAAGGCTTACTGCTCTGAAAATCTGCAGTAAGATGTGTGTGCATAATGGGTCTATGACTGGGCAAAACTCTGCTATATTAACCAATAATACCATAGCCAACTAGTTGCCCTGGAGGACTAGCAATCAAGCCATAAGGATCAAGGCCTTCCTCCCATGTTGCCTCTTAGCACCAGCAGGGGTCATTTCCTGCGGGAGCGCACAGGAGTGGAGCTCCGGCAGTAAGGAGCCCAGGGAGTGGGAACATGCAACAAGCCCCGCCCCCTGCTCCCAGCAGCCCTCAGTCGGGCCAGGAGGAGCAAGAAGCAGCCAGGTAAGTTGCAGAGCCCCCACCCCGGCCCGCCTTCAAGTACAAGCTCTCCCTCCTCTGCGAGGACAGATCTGCACGTTTCCCCCCCCCCAATAGCTAGCAATCCAGAACAGTCCAGTGGAGCCTGAGCGGTGGGTGTTGCCTTCTGACATACTTCCAGTGATGTCATGGGGTGTGGCATAAGTTATGCTAATGAGCCCCTGCACCTCTTTTTCTACGAAATGACCCCTGAGCACCAGTATTCAGAGGTTTACTGCTGGATGTGAAAGTTCTCTTTAGTCATCATGGTAAACCAATAATGGAACTACCTTCTACGGATCCTTCTAAGCATCTTTAAAGCCATCTTTGCTAGTGGCCATCATCTCATCCACTGGTAGGGAATTCGACAATTTAATTCCTTATTGAGGGAAGTACTTCTTTTGGTCCCTCCTGAATATGTAAGTTCTCCCCGTCCATTTTTTGCACCTCACGTATAATTTTATAAGCTTCCATCATGTGCCCCTTTATGCATCTTTCTTCTAAACTGAAAAGCCCCAGATTCTGTACTCTTCTCATAGGAAAGGTGCTTCAACCTGTAATCATGTTGCTTGCCCCTTAAATGTTTCCACAGCGCTGCATTGCCTTTTTAGGGACACGAGTGACCACAATTGTGCAAATCCTGCATGAGAAAAGAAACAGGGGTTTAATGAGTGTGGATGTCTCCACAGGCAGATGCTAGGAAACCGGCTGTTCAAGATACCCATCAGGGCTTGAGGGAGATGACACTCTCCACATACAGCTCTGCAATTGATGGGAGTGGGAAGCCTGTGTCTGTGTAAAAAGGTAGCACAGTGTTTGAGACTGGGAGTACAGGGCGAGATAAAGGCAGTGGTGGGGGCTGAAGCAGCGGGAAGGTGCAAGATTTCTCTGTGGGGATTTGATGTAAGATGGTGAATCTTATAGGACTATCTCTGTGCCTTCATGTGGGTCCTACCTGTATATTTAATAAAAATACCACAAGTCTCTAGTGCTCCCATGAGAGCCAGTCTGAATCAGCGCTTGCCCCCAGAACTTCTCATCACTTAGCAAAGGGGGGGGGGGCACACGTAATAATAGCATACTTCTTGATGGATTCTAATTCAACAGTTTCAATCTGGAGTTTCCCTTTGAAGTTTCTGGCTAGAAAATGTTGAGAACAGCCACCCCAATGGAGGAAGTTTGTGTCTGTTTGCAAAATGTAAAGTTGCAGGAGACAAATTTGAATTCTCTGATTCTCACTGATATTCTAATCCTGAATCAGGGCTTCAGGGCTGCCTGAAAGTTAACGGCATCTATCTATCTAGGTATTTTTGCATTTTTGTATGTGTCTCTGTGTGTGTGGAAGTTCTGCCTTATGCTTCAGGAAAAGGAACTCTGCATAGGCTCAGTAGCATTCAATGCACTGAGCTCTGCTTATTCCCATAGCAGGCTGATGCACACACAGCGCAAGTCCTTGCATTGCAACTTCTCCACCCACAAAGTATGTGCCAGTTAATGTGCTTCCCCTCCCCTTTTAAAGTTCTGCAGTTTATTTGCATACTCTCCTTTCATTGGCTGGCTGGAAAGAGGAAGGAGCAAAGGGGGAAGCCCGCAGAAAGGAGGAGGGAGAGAGGGGGGAAAGGGGAGGAGACACCTTTGTTTCTCAGCTTTGGTTTGTAAACAAGAGGAAGTCTAGACTTCCAGCTGGCGCTTTTCGGGGGGCCTGCAGGTCTCTCCGCAGGGTGCCTCCCCTCTCACAAAGCTGCCCAAATACCCTCTCAAGGAAAGGTACCTGTGCATCGGGAGGGCTAAGAGGCTTCATCAAAAGAAGGAGGTTCTTCTGCATTTCTCTCTTGCCAGGTAAGATTATGGTGGGTACCTTATACTTGTTAGGTATTCAGGCCAGGTGACCGCAGTGGCTGACTGTGGGCATCTCGTGTCATGAAACTATCATCTAATTTGCTGCTAGGAGAAAAAGAGATCTGGTAAACAAAACAGGATAAAATGCGTATCAGGGACAGTTTATTTTACCCATCCGTAAGACAGTCCTTGGTGATAATTGTGACTCTTGTTTTTAAAATAGGCGCATGTACTTTGTTTGACCCACTGTGTAAATTATTTTTAAAACCGGAATCCAAGAAGGCTGTTCTCTATAGGACAATGTACCTTCTCCTGTATTCCAGTGGCTCATATATCATCATCACAGTGAAAAAGGTACAGATATCTTTTTAGAGATCCTGTAATACAAGGTAATATGGCATCCATTTCTGAGCAGCCTGCATTGTTGTTGTTCCCTAGAATACATTGCCAGCTCACTATTGATTGGAGGCACTGAGCCAAATCAAATGGAGTCATAGCTACTGGACTGTTTATGAAGGGTGGGTTACTTTACCCATGTCTTTATAGCCTAGAACTGCAAATGCATTACCGTATTTCCCAGAATCCCAGGTCTCATGATTCCAAGCTTCAAACCTACTGCAGAGGGACATTTGGTTTTTCTAGCTCCAAATTTCAACAGCTGACAGATGGGGAAGAAATACTGATTTTACAGTCTTGAAACAAAAAAAAAATAGAATTCTGATTTTTTTAAATGCTAGGTTAAAAAAAAATCTGCCCCAACTCTTTTTTCATATTATATGGATTTCTGAAATGCATTTTTATAACTGATTAAATCACTGGAAAACATTTTGCCTCAGTATGTCCAATGTAAAACTACAACTCTGGCATATTGTGCTGTCTCCTTAGTTAAGAGTCTGTCACTTCCTTGCAGTAGATAATCCAAATAGGAATTTTAACTCACAATCATTCAGTACCCATTTCTACACCTATGTCACCTCCTGTTTCTTCATTCCCTCTACCTGCATATAAATTATAGTTTTTGTGTGTAACAGATTAGGATTAGAGAGTATTAAATACATAACCAATATCTCTGATATGTGGCTTGCCGTGTAATGCTTGATACAACTTGCTTTCATGGGCTCCTCCCCATTAGTCTATTAACCCATATTTCATAGAAGAGAGGTTATTGTAGTATAATGCAGACCATGTTTTCTCAAGTACTGGATAGACTAAAAATCACATGCTACCTGTACTCATCCCTAACTTCCCACAGGAAAAAGTTGATTACTGCAGAAAGCACCAATAAAAGTTTAGAACAAAGCCTATATTTCATATTAAGGTACCTAAAATGTCATTATTTAATCATAAACAGATATATTCACCCTAGGAACCATGAAACCAAGGTCAAGAATGGGCCCTATGCCCTCACTGAAGATTGAATATCTATTTATAGATCTCCTGTATTAAACCATCTTAAGAAAATCCCTTTTCACACTGTACCAGTAGCATGCAACAGTCTGTACTTCCCATAATATTAAAGCAGGCCCATATTGTTTGATGACCTTAATGTAAGCTCAAACTCATTCCTGTCAAGCATTCAGCATCCACCTGTCCTTAAATCAGACTGGAACAGGCTTATCCCTGTGATTCTCCTGTTCGCTGCACTGTATTTCTAGTAACTGGTAAACTGATATTATCTCTAGCTAATAAGGTGCCTCCATATTGGCTAAGATAATGGCTAGTCCTATTACCCTGTCATTAGGATCCAGGCTGAATCCTAATCACCAAGAACAGTCCCTACAATTTACAAAACGTTCTCTAATAATGGGGCAATATTTGTTTAGAATTCCTGTATAAAGGCCTAAAATGACCCAGAGCACTGTTTCCTATAGAACATTTTTATCCTCGCCTTCCTCTGAGGCGTTCAAGGCTGCATATCTGGTTCTCCCCTCCTCCGTTTTGCCTTCATAAGAGCCTTGTGAGGTGGATTAGGCTGAGAAAAAAGGACTGGCCCAACGTCACCTGGTACATTTTATGGCAAACGGGTCTCCCAGGTCCTAGTAGAACTCTCTAGCCACTGCCCCACTCTAGCCACTCTGGACACCACATTTGGCCCCGTGTTCCCCTTTGTTCCTCTCATAATTACTTTTGCTACAGCTAACATAATCTTATCTACAGCTAGGGGAAACAGGGGAAACAGAAAGGAAAATACCTCCCCCTCCCCACCCCAAGCATAAAAACCCCAGAGGTAGTGGGGTCTGCTAGGGGAGCGGAGATCAGATCTAGCATCTGCAATGAGAAAGAAGACAACGTTTTAGAGAGGAGGTGGGAAACCTGGGGAATGCAGGGTCTTCTGCAGACTGCATCACAGAGATCCCCCAAATCTATCTCTCTCACTCACATACACACACACACACACAGTGCCAGGGAACCCAGGGTCTTCTTTTTGTTTGCAAAGACAGAGACACAGCCTCCATTTCCCCAAGTCAGCATTCCCCTGCCCGCAGGCTTGGTTGGTTCACTTGCTTCGCTTTCAAGGAGCCGCCTCCCTTTCCCTCCCCCTCGTCATGTTCCAGACTTTTCCCCCTCCGCCCAGCCCCAGCCAGCCGCCTCCCTTTGCAAAGGAAGCCTCCAGCCTCCTTGCGGAGGGTTCTTCGTCTGCCTTCCCCCCCTCCCCCCCGCCCTCTCGCTCCTGTGCAGCATTTATTTAAGCCACTGCATGTTCACCAGCCCCCTTTTCCCTGCACTAGTTATTTTTTCCCTCCTCTCTCCTAGACTCATCCGCAGGTTGCTGTACGCCTTTCTCTTCCGCATTCATTTGACAGTTCCAGTTTCTCTGCTCTTAATTCTGTGCTCATCTGCCTCTTCCTTTACACCTTTCCCCCTTCTCAGCACTCACATTGTCTTCCGGATCATCCTTCCCCCTTCGGCTCTCCCCCGCGTCCCACATCTTCAAATATTCCTTCTGCACTCATCCACAATTACATTATAGGCATCCTTCACTCCTGCCATCTTTTTACAACTGCATATTTTTAACACTGTTTAACACTCCTCACTATTCCTTCTGCAAATTGTTTGTTTGCTTTTTCCTGTGTTTATCCTTCAACAATCTCACCGTAAATGGGCACTGCATTTTAACACCACGACCCCATCCATCCATCTGCCCATCCGCCCATCACCTTCTCCCCCTAAAGAGTTCCTGAACACAAGGTAGCATTTTCAAAACCTGCCCTCTTGGGAGACATCAACCCACTGAGTTGGGTGGCATATACCTTAAAACAGGGGCCAAAGGGAAAGCTTGTCATGTGTTGAAACAAGGAAGTTTGTTTTACATTTTTTTTTTTGTCAAAGTGCCAGAACTCCTGGATCTGATGGGGGAGGACAAATGAAGGGATTTGGAAAGCAAGGATTCCTGGGTTGTTCAAAAAAAGAAGGGCAAAGAGGATCTAGCGGGCATCAGAGTGGCAACGTTATTGGAAAGAGGAGGGGAAGTTCTTTGGAGAGAGGCAGCATGGGAGAGCCAGGACGCTTGTATTCTATTCTAAGCAATACTTCTCCATCACAAGATGATCTGTGCTGACCTACATCTCGAGGTTTATTACAAGCTGAGCCTCCTAGAACATGCCTTGGGAGCCAGAGCACGTGGTACTGTTTTGGTTGAGAAACCAGACTGGTTAGACAGTATTTAGCCAATGGCAAGAGCTGGGAAATTGAATCCAGGCATCTCAGCTCCTAACCTTCCGGGCTCGAACACATCCCCTCAACTGAGAACCCAAAAATCCTGTCCCCACCAAACGACCACACCCCTCCCAAGCTCTCCCACATTCTGCTTATCTCATCACTCCTCTCTCTTACGGCATTTCAGGCTTCCCCCGTCGGAGGACTGCACATTTCTGCACAACTCTCCTGCAGCTTCTCTCTCCATTTTATGACCACACGACAATGGTGAGGCTGTCCAAACCCAAAACTTTCCAAGCCTATCTGGACAACTGCCACCGACGCTACAGCTGTGTGCATTGCCGGGCACACCTGGCCAACCACGACGACCTTATCTCCAAGGTATAAAGAGTACCAGGATATTTCTGACAGACAGCAACCCAGGGAAGAGGTGGCTGTCTTCTCTGCCAGTTGGTTTAACAAACAAACAAACAAATCCAGACGTGGTTAAACATTACTTTTAACATTAGTTAGTTTTAACATTAGTGTTTTTTTTTTAAAAAGCTATCATTATAGGGAATCCTACTCTGCTTTCCCCCATCCTAACCCTAATGTGAGTTATTATATATCACACACTTTCAAACGGCCTTCTGCAGCAACCCTGCTAGGTAGGTCACCATTATTCACAGTTTGCAGATGGGGAATAAAGGTAAGAAGGTCAAGGCTCTGGGCAGCCTGTGGCAGAGGCAGGATTTGTGCTTTGATTTTCCAAAAAGGTTATTTTATCCACTGCACCATTCCGGTGCCTCAGTTCTACCCACAGCACTATGCTGCATTGCCCAGATCCCCAGAATGGGCCAGAGGATCTCGGGGGAAATCTCCCGAGACACACCTCCCTGTTAGGCCAGAACACAGACCTAGAAGCGCTTCCACTTCCTGTTAGGGTGAGCAATTTAGCTTCTAACAGATGAGTGAGAAAAGGGAAGGACTATCCCCAACTGCCCGATTATACAGTCAGGGAACCACAATTAAGCAAACAAAACTTGTAAATCTTCCTAGTACTTAAAGGAAGGGAGTTATAACTGAAGGATAAAGGCAGGTGATGGGGGGAGAGGGGGGGGGAATCTGGAAAGCAGCAAGGAGATGGGATATTTGTCTCCTCAAGCTGGACAGTTTTCTCAAGGGGGGCTTGTTGATTCTTGCTCAACCATCCACACCCTGGTGGCTGAGACACTGCAAGGTCAACAGGTTTCGGCTGCGAGCTGATTAATGATTAAATTGAATTCAGTGTGCAGAGATGAGGTGTGCCTGAAAGCAAGCCAGAGAACAAACAAGGAAATGCAGCAGGGAGCAGGGAAGCGGCTGTGGGCTCACGGACAGACGAAAGTCCGAGGGGGACGCTGCTGGTCAGGACCGTGGTGAGGGCGAGGAATCCTGCAAAGGGGGACGTGCAGCAAAGAGTCAATCGAGGTGTTTATTTAAAGCTGTTCCCCTCGTCTTCTTGTCATTACAGTCTTTCCAAGGGAGCCAAGGCCGGGCGTATTTATTCAACTCTGTGTGAGTATCATAGAAAGAAGCAGACTCCGGTCAAAGGGCAGCTACAAAGCAGTCTGTGAGAAAGGATCTCTGCCCTATCCCAGGCCTGTTGTGGGCTCAAGTTGTTGTGCCAGTGACCTAGTTCTCCGTGTTTAGGGGCATGGCCCTCTCTGCGAGAGGAGCAGCATGTCAGAGAAAAGGATCCCAAACCTAGCCAAACTTTAAACATTCTAGTTTTCTACACAAAACCATCTTGTTGTTGATAGGAAGCATTCCATTGTGCAGATTTCTTGGAGAGGCAGGGTGCAGGTTTTCTCAATAATGAAATAAATATTCATGCAGCCCTTGCCTGCAATCTGAACTAGTTCACCCCAGGCACAACTCAATGAAAACCGCAACTTTGTCCACTGGTATACGTGCAAACTCTGATGACCTCTGTGATAAGGCAGGACCCATGCCAAGAGACTGCCAGTTGAGTTCCAGATCAAATTTGAGGTGCTGGTGATTACCTTTAAAGCCCTAAATGGTCTGGGACCTTCATACATGGCAGACCGCCTCTTCTGACATATTCCCCCCCCCAAAAAAATTTGTGTTCTTCAACCCACAACCTGCTTGTGGTACCTAGCCCCCAGAATGTTTGCCTGGCATCTACCAGGATGAGGGCTTTCTTTGTGGTGGCCCCATCCTGGTGGAATCAGTTGTCAGACAGTACACAGGCTCTTCTGCTTAGCTTTTCATTAACTGGGTCTGTTTATGTGGGCTGCCTTTTAGTTTTATGTTTTTATTTGACGGCTGTTAATACTTTAGTTGCTGTTAGTTGCCTCGGCATATAAATTTAATAATAGAATAATAATAAAAAATAATTTTAAAAATAAAAGGGGGTGATGTGCTGGGTCCTCCCCATTCTCCCATAACGTGCAAACCAACAAGCTTAGGAACAGCAGATGGGATGAGTAGACATGCAGTGATGAGGGGAACTGCCAGAAATGGGAATTCCCAGAGATGGTCCTTTACGAAAGGAGCCTCAGCATTCAAATGACCCTGCCATCAACCCTGACTGGTACACAGTCTTCAACCCAGTCTCTCAGGCTGTCTGACAAAAAAAAAATTTCAAGGCTGAACCTGTGAGGCCACACAGGCAGAACTTGAGGCCTTCACTGATTTAAAGGCAAGGGAAAACTCAGACTAGGAAAATACGAGGGATTATGGGTAAACAGGCATTGGTAGAGCTAAGTGACACTGTGCCCCTCAACCCATTCCTTTTTTCTATGTTTCTTTCTGCCCTTCTTCGAAGGAGTTCAGGGCAGCAATATCCCTGTGAGGCAGGTCAGGCTGAGAAAGAGTAACAGGTCCATTGTCACCCAGGGAGCTTCAGTTCTGAGCAGGGGTTGGAACTCATCTCTCCAGCCCTAGTTCACCGCTTTCACCGCTATACCTCACTGGCTGTCTCTTGTTTCTTGGCTCCGCACAGAGTAAATGTTGGATGTGGGCCAGCCGAAGAACGGGTCCTGCTGACAGGTCTACACGCTGTGGCCGATATCTACTGTGAAAACTGCAAAACCACACTTGGATGGAAATATGTGAGTTTTCACCGGCCGCCCCTCATCTTCCTCTCCCTGCGACTAATGCACTGCTTTTAAGAAAGCTCACACACTCTTCAACACCCTTTGCATTCTTGTGTCTTGCAGGAGCAAGCCTTCGAGACCAGTCAGAAATACAAGGAGGGGAAATATATCATTGAACTCAACCACATGATCAAGGATAATGGCTGGGACTGAAAAGAGAGGGACAGCGGAAAGAAGCAGGATCTCGCCACCTTTGGCTAATGACATGTAGTCGGTGGAGCCTGAGAAATGACAATTTCCACAAAACTTGCCTCTGCCTTCCCAGCCGATGGGCTGCCACCCAAATCACTTCTGGATGCCTCTGAGTTGTGAAGGAGGAGGCGGAGCTTCTGCTGGGAGGCCACACCCATGGCTCAGATATGATGCCCTCACGTGGCAAAAGGAGGCAGTGCACAAGGAGACACCTAGGCCAGGGTCAGTGTGCAAGCAGGGTTTGGGAGGGGGAGGGGAGGAGTGTGTGTGTGTGGGGGGGGTTATTGTACAGAGTGTGTATTCAAAAATTACGACAGCAATTGTATAGTGGAAAGCAGGGTTTGGGAGGGGGAGGGGAGGAGTGTGTGTGTGTGGGGGGGGTTATTGTACAGAGTGTGTATTCAAAAATTACGACGGCAATTGTATAGTGGAATGGGGAAGGCAAGGATTGTACAGTATTTGTGACTTTGTGAGAGTATGTATTATATATATATATAAATAAAAGCACTGAAGTGGTACTTCTTTTTTACAGTAGGGGGTGCTGTCACCAAGGCATTTACTAGCCATTCAAGTCTTTTTTTTTTGGGGGGGGGGGGCTATCAAGTCACACCCAATCTATGGTGACCCTGTAGGGTTTTCAAGGCAAGTAGCCAGAGCAGTAATCACTCCTGATTATTCCACCGGCCAGACCTTTGTGTATGTTGTCTCTCTTCTCAAGGACTCCATAGGGAACGAGCCTGGGCCAAAGGAGGTCTGAAAAACAGCCAGTTGTACCCCATCCACCCAGTCCTGTATCAGACAGCAGATTTCCACACTTGCTAAGGCTACATTCTCAGCTGAAGGGAGCCACGGGGACCCTATTTGGGTGGAAAGGTGGCATATAGATGTTTTACATAAAGTAAATAAATAAATGAAGAGCAGATGATGCATTTGGGCTTCCTCACCCTGAGGTTAGCAATTCTTCAGCCGCCTCAGGCACAGAAGCTCCTGGGCTACCACACAGAGGCAAGTACCTCTTAGAGGTTTCAGCACAACGAGTATCCTCCTCGTGGAAGAATTGCAGCCCCACGGCAAAGTACCTTCTACCCAACTTATTGAATTCATCTGGAGATCTGTTCACCTCTTCATTTATCATAGATTTCACCCCATGTACGGTTCATTCTCTTGCCATTTTGAGCTTGTCCCCACTACTAACACCATGCAAAACTCTGGCATTCCCTCAGAGGCTACAGAAATCCCAAATCCCAGAGGATTAAAGAGGTGCAGAGTGTATTACAGTAAGGGGTGGGAACAAGGGCACAGCCGGCTTATGCAGTCAAGAGTTTCCTTTCCTACCTCTTAAGTGCTTAGCCAGAGGTCCTGCTGACATCACCAGCCTCAGAATACCCCAAAGCAGAATCATCAGATGCACAAGTACCCCCCATCCTCAAAGGGGGCCTGATGTCCCCCCCTCAGCTGTGAACAGTTACTGTGTCCTACACGGCAGTGCTCAAGTGCTCCACCTACTGTCTGCTTTTGAGAGTTACAACATGCTATATACCTTTTAAACAATCATTAGTGAAAATGAGAATAATCTGTTCCACTTTTAAAGGAGATTTTCATAATCCCATAATAAAAATGAATTACCATTGAATCATTTATGGAGCTAATGTAAACATACACACACTTTTTAATTCAGCAGACAAAAGGTCCCGTTGCTTCGTCTGGTTTCAATGATTAAAGAGTTTTCAAAATATGAACTGCTTTGCTGGATCAGTCCCCCAAAACCATCCAGTCCACTTTTCTTTTCACCAACAGTTGCCAACAAGATGCCAAGCACTGCTTGTTTCCATAAAGTGGAACTTCCATATTCAGGGGCAGTGCACCTTTGATGACTAGATGGTAGAAACAGTATGTTTCTTGCAAAAATTGTGTGTCCACAAGGAGGCCTGCTCATCATCCTAATATATATTGCTGGGCAAGAAGATGTGTGTGTGATACCCAGTCCAGAACATCAGACATCAGCACCTGTTAGCGTAAGACAGGATGAGCAAGTGAAGGAAAGGGGGAAAGGGCACATCATGGAAGGTACTCAACTGGGGACTGGTTCCTCACCCCATCATGAGGGAGCTATCAAGAAATCTGCTTGATTTCACTGCCATCTTGAAATCCACAGGTACCATGGAAAATATGTGATTTTTCATTGTTGGGTAGGTCCTCTGGCTATACACCTAATAATAAAAGAGGAGCACTGCAGGAACTGGAGGAGGGGTAGGCTTCTGACATTACCACATCACAGAGTAACAAGATCAACCCTGCACTGAAGACATAACTAAAGAAATAAGCCTTCCACACTCTGCATCTTGATTTAAGATCTAAGGGAAAAGAGCCATCCACCACTTCCTTACTCCGTGACTGAAATTCCCACCACAAGGATGCCAGTGCCAGGGGCTGTGTCTTTGCATTTGGAGAATATAACCTCCCTTCTTCATGAGCCTCAAACAGCTCATGAGGGTGCTCAAATATCATACCCTGAGGACTTCATATAACGTGAGTCCGAGGGCTATATTGCCTTTGCTCTACAGTGCCCTGCAGAAGGAGAGAAATTGGGCACTCCACTTCTAATTTTTCTGGGCAGAATTCGGAAACACACAGTTGCTACAAACCCCGTTTTCCTTAAAGAAACAACATTCAAGAAAAAGAAGGACTCTCAGCAGTTTTGAAGTTCCCCCAACAAAATGCTGGTTCCACAAAAAGGCTCATACAAGCCTGGCTCTCTCTCTCTCTGTGTGTGTGTGAGAAAGATCAAGATCCAGGCTGAGTCTTAAAACGCGGGAGGGGGGGTGAGAGAGAGCTAGGCTGAGTCTTAAAACTCTGGGTTGGTTGTGTGTGTGTGTGAGAGAGAGAGAGAGAGAGAGAGAGAGAGAGAGAGAGAAATCAGGCATTCTAGCAACCATCTGAAGAATACACTTTCTAAGAGTTCTGGATTCCAAAGCATTGAGGGGAGGGGAGTGCAGCTCTCCAAAGCCCTAAAATTCTCCCCTCTTTCTCATATCACCTCCAACCAGCATCGTTCTGCCTGCCTGCCAGCATTCAGCATACTTCGGGGCCACCCCTTGGAAGCAACGTCTGCATCCAGTCCTAAATCAGAAGTTGCAGGTAAAAGGAATTAACTGGAGATAAGCTAGCCAGTCAAATGCAGCCAGTCACTAGAGTGCACAAAGAAAATGGCCAAAGAAGAAAGTGCCTGATCTCCGCATACATGATCGAACACAACTTATTTGAAAAAGTATTTGAAAAAGTGTACCTTGCACATGAAAGCTCATACTTTGAATACACCTTTGTTGGTCTTAATGGTGCCACTGAACTCTAAATTTGTTCTAACACCACTTATGGAGAAGGAAAAACAGTGGCAGTATTTTTTCCTTATGGATACACAAGTGGAGAGGACCTACAAACCCGCCTGACATACCAAAGCAGAAGTACTCTTGTTGGTGTACTCTTTGTGACAACACTGGTTGTCCAAGCTGCATGTTGTGTGGCACGGCTGAGCAAGTGGAGCAAGTGATAAGAGTGCAGGATTTAGCATCCTTAGAATCAAAGTTTTGTCATTTTTTTTGTAGCTCTTAAAGTTGCAGAAAGACTTGAGAGCACAGACAGTCTCTCCAAAGACAGAAGGATTTCCCGTAGTGAGAGGGTGGGGCTGCCCTTCGACTCTCAGTCGCAACTAGAAGAAGTGGGATGCATTATGCAAAGTACAGGGAAATGTGTATACCTTATTCAGGCTGCAAAATTTGGGTCAACTCATCACAGAACATAATCCGATGAAGGATTTCCCGTAGTGAGAGGGTGGGGGTGCCCTTCGACTCTCAGTCCCAACTGGAAGAAGCAGGATGCATTATGCAAAGTACAGGGAAATATGTATACCTTATTCAGGCTGCAAAATTCGGGTCAACTCATCACAGAACATAATCCGAAGTTACAGAACATTTTTTTTAAAGTGCAGAATAAACACAGTCCTGCTGGCTAAGGGCACTCCCCTACAAGTGTTAACACTTCAAGTGGCATAATGTGCATTCTGTTTAGGCAAGTATATGGCCTTGGCGTAAATGGCACTACACACTCACACACCAGTATCAAGAACTACTCTTCTTGTCATAGCGTTTGATCATATACACCCCTTAAAAGTGGTTAGCATTACCAGTTAGAACTACTGTGAAAAAATGTATATAATATATAAAAATCAGTTGTATTATGAGGCTACAGAGAACCCAGGCATTAACCACAACTGGGGTACCAGAATAATTCACTGGACCCCTTCACTCTCAGGATCCTGCAGCTGTCCAGCCCAGCTGCAAAAACATCTGGATGACAAATGACCATGGCACCTCCCCCCTCACCCACTTGTAAACCAAGAACCCCATAGGTCAGGATCAATCAGGAAACTTTGGAGTCAGAGTGTTAATTAGGCAATTAGGAGGATTTGAGTGGTGGGCACAGAAAGGGACTGGGCCAAGACTCTTAATGAAGTCTGAGATGGAGTGGGAGAGCTGACTGGGCGGACCACAGGAGGGGGCTTGGGCATCAGAATTGGGGGGGGGGTGTTACACAGGGATCTTTGGAGAACCAAGGATGAAGGCAACTTTTTTGTATGACGGAAAGGCAGGCAAAGGCTGAAAAGCCAGGGAAGGTGGAAGAGGGATAAAATAGAAGGACCCTGATAGAAATAGCTAGAGGGTGTGTAAGGAGAGGACATCCTGGGACTGAGAATACATGTCCCTGCTACTTCTGTGCTCCGGTTCCCCTGCTTTCAGCCCCAAACCCCTCCCCTCCTGGAGGTGTGAATGTGCCATTTGGGGTCTCACTTCAAAGAGTCTTGGCGGAATCATAAATACAACCTCAGCCAGGGGCTCCTCAGGGAGAGAGAAAGATCTGGAGGTGGAAGCATCCCAGTCTTGCTGCAGGAGACAGAACCCAGGAGACCTGCCTTCTCAGCTCCTCAAACCAGCTCTATCCCCAACAGCCCCCCCTCCCCCCTCCCCTCCCTCCTGGCTTCTGCCACCCCACTCCCCTCCAGACGCCCTACCACTCTCATCAGGCCCCTAGAACTCACTGCTTATTCACCAAAGGAAGGAGCCCTGGCTCCCAACCTCATCTGTTCTCCTCCCTTCCCAAAAACCCAAGAGTCCTGGTTCCCAGGCTTCCTTTAGCAACCCATGTATCACCCTTCAGAGATGTTTTCACAGTATGGGGGCTCCTATCCTCTGCGACCTCCCCCACCTCCAGGAACTGGGTATCCCCAGAGTCAGGGACCACAGTACGAAGCCTTCAGATATCCAGGTGAGAAACTGGGATGTGGTGGAGGAGTGGGAGATTGGGGGCGGGGGGGGGCTGAAGAGAGATGTATGCAGAGGAATGACTGGGAACTAGACTTGCTGGGCACTCTTTTAGAT